GTGGGGGGTCCACCTAAGGCATAACGATCTAGGTTCTAGGACTACTATGTTTGTTGCTGGGACAGCCTCTCTGGGTCATCGGGCGGAGGCCCGATGCATGCCCGGTCTTCCCATCATCCGCCAGTCCGGTGTCTTTGGCACCCCAAAGCTGCCGCGCACCCTAAGAGTGGGCCCTAAGAGCAGGTCTGTGAATCTGAATGCCCAAGCCCAAAGCTGGGCTTTGCATTCAGGCTTCAGCTTGGTGACTGGAAGAAGGTGTTGTGCACTGCCAGGATGTACGGAATTCAGGCACTACAACCAGCGCCGAGATCTTCATGCCCAAGGCCCGTTGTGTCCATCAGCATCTACTCGTGTCAGTGTGGCAGGGAGAGAGAGAGAGAGAGAGAGAGAGAAGGCCATGGCCCCAATCCGTGTGGACGGGCCTGTGGGACTAGAGTTTTGGGGTATTGGTGGGGTTGGAGGGCAGGGTTTGAGTTTTAGGGTCCAAAGTGGAGACCTGATGTTGAATCTTCAGGACATGGAGCCATAAGATTGGCAGCAGGTGAACAGCATGGTGATGCTCTGAACTCAAGCGCCACGTATGTCTTCGTGCTGCACGTCTCCATGTCTAAGTCAAAACCCAAACGGCAGTTTCCCATAAATCAGGAGACTCCAATATAGAGCCGAATATGCTACAACCCTTAATATAGGAACCTTCGAAAAAACTCATTTTCGTATATCCCCAAAAACAGCAGAATTTGCAGCAACCGGCGTGCAGCAGTTCAAGCTGCAGGGACAACCTTAAAGAAAGCCCATCTGTGCGGGCTGCTTCCTTCTCGGATGAGGAAACAACTACTAAAACATCAGGGAGAATGTCTCTGGCTTTGGCGCTTTCCTCAAACCCCAGCATTCCCAACAGCTTAGCAGCCCTATGCCTTTCACATAGACTGCTGGCACTAACTCAGTCATAGTCAAAACTTCTTGTATGCGCCTCTTGAACCTAGACCGCGCACGCCTCGCCGGTCTTGTCCATCTTGGCCAGCATTGGGCCAAGAACGGTGTCGATGTCGACCTGCAGTTCGAACTCAAGGAATACTGTGGATGTTGTGCTTCAAAGACCAAACCAAGCTTAGCACGTTTCGTCCACACCCCCAGGAATTCTGGGGGTAGAGTGGGGTCATGCAGTACTTTAGGCGGACATTACTACAACACCCAAAAACATGGCGCATGTCTTTGCGGGACATCCCTACTTTTCACTACGTTCCCTTGGAGACAAAGGCTAGCATGAAGGACTATCCAAGGACTAACTATCCTTACAGGTGAATGGTAGGGTGAAGCGGGGTGCGAATTACCTACCCTAAAGTCAGATATGTGTACTTATCCTACGTTTAAATTCTACCTCTGCTTATGACTGCAAGCGAAGCTTCAAGTGATCGGGGCAAAATAAGTGGATCCTTGTTGGGTACTACTCAGAAAGATACTTCATGTCCCTAACCTCTAAACCTGTTCGGAGGCATCTTCAACACTAACCCAGGTAGAACAGATTCAAGGTATTCAGGGGCCGCTGTTGAACTGATCAAGGAGGTTTGTCCCCACAATGGCGCGCTCTTTGCATCTAGCATTGGATAGGAAGGATCTTCTTGTGGTTGAACCATGGGCAATGTTGGACTGTGTGGCTTAGGGCAGGGTTAGGAGCCAGCACCATCAGCCGTGCCCATGCTGAGCTCTTCACCAAATTCTCCGATTGAGTCTTGATGGTCTTCACCTGCGCCAGAATCTACAGCTGAAACCTCACTGCAGCTCCCTAGATAATCATGGGGAAGGGACTGTTGTGGGACCACGCTTTTGTCTATTCACGGGACTCCGTTGAACATAGGCTATTGTAACTGGTGTCATGAACAGCCTCAATTTTGTCATGCAAGTATCCTACCTGCAAACACGTCAAACTACCCTGAACCTTCCGAAACGGCACCCCCCATAAACCCTAAACCCTACACCAGGGTAGGCCACCGTGCTTGTAGACCAGAACCCTGAACCAACATGTAGGTTCTGCAGGCCGGGTCCAGGTATGTTTGAGAAGAGCCCAAAGCGAGATCTTTGCCGCAGATGCAGGACTTTACTGGATTGCTGTGAAGGAACTTAATTTGAGTTACCATAATTGGTTTTCATGTTTGGTAAGGAATAGGGCTTCCCCACTTTTGTAACTTAAACTAAGTTCGCTAACAGCAACCCGGTTTAGATCCAAGCTCTTTTTCTTCTTCGTAGTACTTTTTAAGGTGGACTGCGGGCTGTAGCCAACTAAGTACACACAAAACGAGACTCAAGCTCTGCAGATGTGCTGTCCACTAGACATGTGAAACGCCCCCTTTATGAACCTACTAAATAGAATGGACGTTTCTGGAGTATCTAAACAGCTGATAAGGCCGGGACCACCAAAAGTATGTATACTGATGGATGAATATGCCAACCTAACTACGTTTTAAACTACTTCAAGTGTTCTGTTAAGGGTTGCCATTTCAATCCTTGAAATCTGATGTCGCAAGCCGATTGACAAGACGTAGGGCTCCTGGCTCCGCAGCACAAAGCGGAACGACGCAACAACGACAATAGGGATGTATGGGGATATATATATATATAGGGGTATACAGGGATATATGGGGATGTATAGGGATATATTGGCTTAAGAACAACGACGGCGACAGCCACCAGTTCACGAGAACCTCAGCGGCGACCGCAAATCAATCCATCTGCCAACATCCAGGGACACGTGACATGGAATTTCCCAAAATTAGGGATCCCTTTTAAGGGACCTATCACAAGGATTATAATATTTGGGGGTCTGTATTGAGGTCCCCCTATTGGTGGAACCTACCAAACCCCAATTGAATTATTGGGGATAATGTCCCTAAACCCTTTTTTGCAACCGGGCTGTGCCCTAAACCCTAATATGTTTGCAGGCATGGCGCAAACCCTGTGATCTTGTTTCCAATCCAGTCAAAGTCGATACCCTCGAGCAACCTCCGGATCGTTGATGAGCTAAGGCTCTGGTCCCTTTAATAAGAGGGTATATAGGGAAACCACAGGGGATATAGGGCCTAATCATCGAATCATGGAAAATTCAAATGGAAAAGAAAATGGAAAATGAGATGGAACTACTATTCAAGGGGTCTCCAACTGACAACACCCATATAACCCCATTTCGCAGGGTAGAATAGTCTTGCTAGGGACCGTTTAGGGGTTCCATGCCAGTTTGGGGCAGTGACCCGTTCAATGTAGGGGCACATGGTTTTTCTACCTTAAGTTCAATATATGGGAGCTTCTCTCACAACAGAGCATTTTGAGGGATCCTACTAAGCTCTAAAGCCATGGGAACCCTCGGGGGCCTCTTGAGCATCCTAGGCAAAGGAATATATAGGGGTTTCCCAAAATCAGGAGTATATTGGGGTTCCCCGATTTTGGGAAACTACCATATATGGTTCAGGGATCCTCTACGCTATCCTGAAGGCAGACACAGGATAACAAGAATCCTGCTCAGAGAAGCTCCGGGGCTTCAAGAACGCTTTCATGTTGTCTTTTTGTGAAGGGAGTCTTTCGCGAGGCATTGACCTTAAAACCTTTTTAAGGGGATACCGTGCGAGTGTGTGACATTTCGAGGGTCTGTACAAACCCCCCGCATCTTTATTGGGGTCCTCACTGGCATAAGCGCCAACGTAGAGAGCCCACCCTCGTTAACAGCCTTTTCAAGATGCAGACTCTCAATTTTAAGAGTTCCGTAATATTGGGGGATTATTGGAATAATGGGCTAGAAAATGGAAACTACTTTAGTAGATTGGGGTCCCCAAACTTGCCTTCTCCCAACAACCCGCTGTCAGGGTTGCTGTTTTTCTGCGGCCTACTCGGAGAAGAATTGAATTTTAAGAACTTGCTATGTGGGGATTTGAAATCATGAGGCTTTCCTTATCGAGGTCAACATACCCTAAACCCCAAACTATGGAAAGCCCGATATCCCGCTTCCAAACAACCTCTGCCCAGGTTGCAAAATGCCTCTTCGCTGAAGCCCCGGGCTTGGGGTTTAGGGTTTAGGGTTTAGGGTTTGGGGTTTGGGGTTTAGGGTTTAGGGTTTAGGGTTAGGGTTTAGGGTAAGGTTCAGGGGATAGGGTTCCAGCCTCGACCCTAAACTCTAAACCGGGAAAGCCCCAAGCAGCTTCAGCGCTTCTGCCTTAGGATCCTGGGTTGCCTTAGCAGCACCCCCCCTTGCTATGCCGCCTAAGTTCCCCTTTCAGGGATTTACGGGTTTTGTGGAATCCTTAAAGCCAAGTAAACGTGATTAAGGGGGAACCCAGTTGGGCAGTGTAGGAGGCTGTTGAAGGAAGTCTTCATGCTTGTGACACACGCACACACACACACACACACACACTTAGTGGCATAGGATCTTGTGGACCCACCACGCTCCACTCCCGAAACCCTACACCCTAAACATTCAAAAATGAAGCCTAAAGCTGAAACCAAACCCTAAGCTACAGCCAGAATTCCCAAACAGTTTACCCCAAACCCTAAACCCCAAACCTTAGACCCCAAACCCTAAACCCTGAACTCTGAACCCGAAACCCTAAACCTATACCTCAAACCCCACACTTCAAAATGCGAGTGGCCCTATGGCAGCTGGGTCGGGGACTGGCTGTAATCCAGCAAGCGACGCCCATCTTCCCCAGCCTGGCGAAGCCTGACATCTTCAGCTGCTACAGGATGTAGATAGGCAATAATTCTGGTTTAAGGTTTAGAGTTTAGGGTTTAGAGTTTAGGGTTTAGGGTTTAGAGTTTAGGGTTTAGGGTTTAGAGTTTAGGGTTTAGGGCTTATGGCCCCTTCAAAAGAAGCTTTCAGGGGATAATTCGGGTCAGGTGACTAAACAATTACCAGTATGGAGAATCACAAAGAAAATCACACGGAAAATTAAACGGAAACTGAGGCTATGTAAGGATTATATTGGGGCTTACACTAGGCAATATAAAGGTTTGGACAATACGAAAGGGAACACGAATAGCCTTATAATTATAAGGGGTTATGTGAGGATGATAGAGTCAGGGTTCTAATGGGGTCTATTTCTCTGGGGGATTGATAGCCGGAGGCTTGTGATTTATAATCATGGATTTCCCGGACCACCACCCCTTATACTACGCCCCACCCAACCCAAAAATGCACCCCCTTATGTTCTTTACTTCTTACCCGGATGTAAGATCAGGATTTATGCTTATCGCCTATACAAACGAAGACACCATACTTTCATGCACACAAAAACAACAACGCACATGCTACCGCCACGGTACCATGCAGCCCTAAACCCTTTTTGAACCCTAAACCCTGAACCCCCTCCCTAAACCCTAAACCCTAAACCCCAGATCCGCCCTGAGCGATGCCCAGCAGCCTTCGCCCTCCCAACTTCGTCATGATGCTGAGCACGGTATCCTGCACATGAAGGCCCGAGTCTGGACCTGTCAGCATCCTAGCCATAATGGTAAGGGCAGTACACCAGTCATCACAGTAGTAATAATATTAAGGATAAACTGATTAAACAGTGCAGATAAAAGGATGTCTGAAGCGGCACTCTTGCGTTTGAAGGGTTGAGCTGCCAAGTGGACCTATCGGGCCATTTCCACACTGCGAACTACACATCTGCCTCTGAGGTTCCAGGCTTGGAGTTCAGGGCTTTGGGGGTTTTACTCATCAAGCTTCGTCATCCTTTCCCCGCCAGAATATCGCACAAGCCGTCCACGGTTCCCCTTGCACAGGCCCTCTACAATACCAAATGTAGGATAATTATTACGGGAAGGGACTACTGCTTTGCAGATGGCCATGGGTGTGGCTGCGAGTGGCGGTGTGGAGCGTCTTGCGCGAGGCCTTGAATTCCGATAGTCGGCCATTGAGCAATTCATCCGGTCACTCAACATTCCGAACACAAAGCTCATGAAAGAAATCATGCCCCAAGCTTGAGGGCCTCTTGCTAAACGAGCCCACAATACCGTAAAGCCTACACTTTCAGTACTGCCCCTCCCTCAGTAACAGTTGGATACTAATTATAATATGGTTATATATAGCCCGTTTTAGGACCCCTAATCAAGACTGTTACTGAGTGGGGGCAGTACCCAACCTAAACCCTAAAACCCTATACCCCAAACCCTAAAACCCTGAAACCCTGAAACCCCTAAACCCTAAAACCCTGAAACCCTAAACCCGAAAGGTTTTCAGAAACTCTAACAGTGTCCTTGATCTGGGTGAAGATGTGGATTACCTTCTCCAGCGAAGAGCCAAGGATGTCAAGGATACTGTTGCCTCAGCAACATCTAACAGGGTTTAGGGTTTAGGGTTTAGTCCCCCTTAAGTAGAAAGAATATGGGGGATATGGGGATCTTGTTATAATATACCCGAAACCATATTCTATCTACTCCAGGGGGTCCATAACCCCATATCTCCTAAATAACCCTTTATTCCGAGTGCCGCATTCCCAGGTGTTCATGCATGCTTGTAGTAGCAGTGGAAACGCGCACGGTGGGAATCTGTGGTAAGAGAGTTGAAAACTTCAGCAAGTTAGCAAGCACAACAGCAAGTGAATGGGCTGCAACTGATGACGTAGACTTATACACATGCGATTTGAGGCATACCGACGTGAGGCGGCCAATTGGTAAAAATGAGACCTGATAAGGGCCAACAAGGCATGCGACAGTTCGGGATGTTTGCTTTAAAGATTCTAAGGGTTTGAGTGACAGTAGTAATTCCTCCTTATATCCTTAGATTGGAGAAGCAAATGAAGCCGATGCGTCTCCGAATCCCCTCCCCACAGTAGTAAACCCCAAACACCCTGACAACAAATTTTCGCACCCTATATAGTACAGGTGTATCATATTCTAGGGGGAGATTTCTCATTTGAGAATGAGGGGATCACTGTTGGGGCAAGTAATCCCTGTACGACCCCTACATAATCCTTTTTCCAGTTTCATTTCCAAGTGACTCTACGCAAGAGTCATCACCACAATGTCGAATTAGGGCAACGGGTTAGAGCCATGCATCCCTCATATAATCAAACTCTACATAACCTCTAGACAACCCTCATATAACCTGCTTTGCATATACATGCGTATGTATATGTATACACGTAGAACTCTATGTACATATACATATACAAATACATATACATTTACATATAGACATATACGTACATCCCTAAACCCTGTATACCCCAGACCCTCAATATCCCTAAATCCTATATCCTAAACCCCATACCCCGAACCCTAAACCCTGAAACCCTGAAACCCTAAACCCAAAAGCCTAAACCCTGAACCCTGACACCCTAAACCCAACAGCCTAACACTAAACCCTAAAACCCTCAAACCCTGAACCTCTTTACCCTAAACCCTATATCCCAAAACCTAAACCCTCAACCCTAAACCCCTGAAAGCCTAAACCCTAAACCCTAAAACCACCCCAAAACCTAAACCCTAAAACCCTAAACCCTAAAACCCTGAAACCTCCAAACCCTAAATCATGGCGAGTCAGCGCCTGGCCACTTCATCATGCCGAGGCTCTACTGATAATTTCCCGGATGCAGTGCACCAACCTGAGAGGTTCTAAAAACCTTTAGGGTTTCGGGTTTAGGGTTTGGGGTTTAGGGTTTCGGGTTTAGGGTTGTTGGAGGGTTTAGGGTTTCGGGTTTAGGGTTGTTGGAGGGTTTAGGGTTTAGGAGTTTTTGCTAGGGCCGTGCGCGCGCTTTGGCGCTATCTCAGGGAGGCTTTGCAGGGCTCTGTGGTTAAGGGAATTTAGGGTTTAGGGTTTAGGGGGTTTAGGGTTCATGGTACAGGGGTTGCGAGTTTGGGGTTTACGGTTAAGGGTTTGGGCTTAGCCCAAATACAGAACCCCCAACCAGACCATTATCCTTATCAGAAGGGGCCCAAGAATGGGTCCTTAGTTTTCTGGGGCGCTTTTAAAGAGCTTAATCTAAGACACCATAATGGGTATATGTAGGCATTAGTAATGTTGACTTCATGTTAAGAACTACCCCTACATTTATAAAATCCCGGGCCAGGAACACGATTTAACAACCCCCACATTTATCAGACCACAAGAATATGTGATTCTTTTCCGGGACTACATTTTTTAATTAGATTTAAATTAACTCTAAATAGGTGCTCAAATCTACATTTTGGGCATTATTATTCCGGGGCTCCCGCAGAACGGAGATAGATCAATCGAGGGGGGGAAAGGGGGGGAGAGGGGGGGGAATTATTAATACGAAGTCAACACTACGGTTTCCCAAATATAGTAATTTAATTTATGTTCCTGAACAGCAACCCACTTTCGGAAACCCCCCACCTGGATAGGAAGCCTTCGTCAGTTGTTAGCTGGGTGGCGCCCGTGGCACCTGGCAAGCAAAGACGGGGAAAAAAGACAGAAGCGAAGGTTTCTTTTAGAGGGAGGGGCTAAGGGCCCTAGGGATATGGAGGTTTCTCAAAATTATCAGGAATTGTTTTGGGGGGTAGCATTAGTCATAAGGATTACGACATTTTGTGGTCTATATTCGGGAACCTTTATTTATGGAAACTACCATACACGGGTTGCAAAAGCGGTTCTGGAATCCATGTTGAGGGTTGTACTGGGGGGAATATTGCAAAACTCCCAACATCAGGATCCACCCTTAAGCATGAAGGGTGCTGTCATAGTGAGCCCATGTTCCACAAACATGCTGGCTTGCCCCAGGTCTGATCGAGCAGAACCACTGCTTTGGGCGGGGGGGGGGGTCCACAGGGTCCAGCACACGCATTCGCCCTTAGCCCTATACATCAAAAACCCTGAACCACATGTAAGGATGCAAGGACGCCCAGGCAGCGGCTTCTCTTAGGTCTTAGAAAAACTGTTTGTTCGCAGAATTGCGCACCATTTACTTCTTTGGACGCTTGCTCCAAAAGAAATCCGACTGCAACTGCTTGAAAATCAGCACCGCTTTCTAAGCCAACTCGTTTCTCCCGATCCTTCCGAACCACATCAAACTCATCGCTCCCGATTTTTCTGAAATACTGAGAGTCGCATAGAATCACCCTCATATAGCCCAAAGAATAACCCGAATATAACCCTAGTATAACCCCAATATAACCCCAATAGTACCCCAATATAACCCCAATATAACCCTATATAACCCCAATATAACCCTAGTATAACCCCAATATAACCCTAATAGTATCCCAAGGCCTATCAGCAAACTGGGGCCGCAGCTGGCGAAGACAGGCTGGAGTGGTTCGAAATCTGAGCGTCATGGAAGGAGTAGGGTCTGGATTTGCTGTGTTGTTGTTAAATTTAGGGTTTAGGGTGTAGGGTTTTGGGTTTAGGGTTTAGGGTTTAGGCAGTAGTCAGGAATGGAGCAATGGGTCCATGACTTCTCCTCTGTCAAGCTGGATAGTTATGGAGGTTCCTCAAAGGCCCCCTGAGGGACCCCAGGGGTATATTGGGACTATAGCTTACCTAACTTGTGGGAAGTTTCAATAAGATTGACCTAAACCCTAAACCCTAAACCCCGTGGCAGAATTCAACGCGCGCCCGTCCCCGGTATGCCTTTGTAGACCGTGCCCATCTTGTTGCTGAGACCCTTCCTGGGCTGCTGTTAAGGTTCAATCGGGTTTCAATCACCCTTAGGTTGTCAAAGCACCCCAGGTCTAACCCAAATATGACCCCTATATAACCCATTATGGTAGTTTCCATCTTATTTTCCATTATCCCAATATAACCCTAGTATGACCCTAATACTAAGGGATTTGAAACCCCAGTAGAAATTACAATGTCAGCTAAATATGAGGATTCTAGGTAACCGAAATCTTAAAAAATGTTTTTCAGGAACCTTGTAGAAGGGACTTTCTTATATGGAGGAAACTCTACCATTTACCGTATATAGCCCTATTGTGGTCGATTAAATTAAGTTCCCATAATGGGCATGTATAGTAAAAAAAAACATGGTTTCTCCATTAGAAAAATGTAACTTAAGTTCCTTAAGCTTAAACCCTAAACCCACCCACTTAAATTCAGTTCCTTAACAGCAAGCCAGGTTCATGCTGTCCCAAGCTTGGCCGGTGAGCTGCGTACCCTCCTGGACATAGCCATTCCTGGGATTGGAAGGATGGGGTTTAGGGCTTAGGGCATAGGGTTTGGGATTTGGGGCTTAGGGCTTAGGGTTTAGGATTTAGGCTGTAGGGTTTACAGTTTGGGGGCACAAGAGATGTCTGATGAGGTTGAAGTGTGCGGCTGGGACAAGCGAAAAGGCAGCCACAATCTGACAGTTTACTTCTGGAACCTGTAGTTGGGAGTAGGGTTTAGGCACGCGCATCGGACTCAGCAGGCACGGTTCGGGTTCCAGTAGAGCTAGCCAGCTGCAGGATCGGAAGCAGAAACCTATGCACCCCACAACATCAGCAGCAACACCCAACATCCCTTAGCCGGCACGGGTTTAGGGAACAGGGTTTATCCGCATGTACTATTGTAGTACCGATGGGCTCCCCATCTTCGAAAGAGGAATCCTCCAACCCTCATCCCTCAACCTTAAACCCTCGGAGGCCATATCGCAAACACCATCCCTGAGGGTCCAGACACCCAAATACTAGGGTTAAAAAAAAGCTTCAGATTCCTTCACATTCTAGTATCTGGGAACTTTGTCTCCTAAGACCCCATTACTTGGGTACTTGGACCCCTGGGAATCTGGTAGTTTCCCAAAAAATATCCCTACATACACAAGTTTCCATGGTATTTTCCATTTTCTTGTCCATTTGATTCTGCATTGTTGGGGTTATACCCCTAAACCCCAAACACTACATCCTAAATCCCAAACCCTAAATCCTACACCCTAAATCCCTACTCGAAATCCTAAACGCTAAACAAATGGTTTAAGCTTTAAGGCCAGCTTCGCACCCTGGATGAGCGTTGCAGCCTCCTGCACGCCCACCACTTTGTTCTGCACCTGGCTGCGCGCTTTCAACAAAATTCGGGGTCTGGCAGGGTCCCTGTTTGAATTGTGCTATGCTGGAATTTGCTAGGGATATATAGGGTTGAAGGTTTCCCGAAACTTTGGATTTTCCTGGTGCATTTTTTGCGGACTCATACTCTTGGACCCACATGCTCCGTTCAGAGTACGCCCTTGCAAAACACTCTGCCCTTGTGCTCAGGGATGATCACAGGGACTATTGCAAGGACCCAAGGGGTTTAGGTTGGGTACTGCCCCCACCCAGTAACAGTCTATACTAGGGGTCATATTAAGGGCTATATATAACTATATTATGAGTATTAGCTGACTGTTACTGAGTGGGGGCAGTACCCAAGGTTTAGGATTTTTGGGGAGGTCCTGTTTAGTGGGCGAAGAATCTGCCGGGGGATCCTCTATTCTAGAAGGCAATTCTTTGGGGATCCACTCCCTCTCACCTAAGGGCTAAAACCTAACCGTTACTGCTGTCATTATTTCTACTTATGATTATATTGACATTATATCACTATTTTATTCCTATTATATTACTATCTTAGTCTTACTATTATATTACTATGATGATAGCACCTCGTTCACGGTGTTTTGGCACCACTTGGCAGCATTGCCAATCGAATCTGCCATGCCGGCGAAATCGAAGAGTTTGCGGCTCACCTGCAGGCTTGCCACAAGCGATTTAGAGTGTAGGGTTTAAGGTATTAAACATCAGAATTATAGCAAGAACAGCAATGATATACAATTGATAGTAACTAATAGATAGCAATAGTGATCACAGTGATGGTAGTTTTAATACAAGTAGTCCCTGTATTTCACCATATGCACCACAGCATACATAGGCGTAGGCGTTTATGCACTGGCGTGACGTGTCATCCTACATGAATTGCTGAATGATAACCCGCCCAAACTGTGACGCACAACGTCCCGCACAGTGCACAACAACGGCTGCGACCTCCAACGCCCGGGTTGTGACTTCATCGTGCGGCCCTTGCGCCACCAGTTCTTCCAGCAATCGGCGTGAATCTGAATGACGCACCACCTGCTGCGATGCGTGCTGCTCAACGGGATGCGGGTAAGGCAGGTACATTCGTCCCCCATCCCCATGCAGCTGTTTACAAAATCGATGTGCAACTATAGGTTGCTCAGGAGAACAAAAAATGTCGCAAGCATGCGCCTCATACCCGATTGATATGCCATCCAACTGCGAGGCGACCGCACCAGCAAGAAGCCATGGCAGCGCAATCAGGAACCGAATCGCCATGGCTGATCCGAACAAGTAAACTGCGTATGACCATGAAGAAAATGCACCATTTGGAGCTATGGTGCTGTAGCGTCGAAGGTTGAAAAACAAACTTCTAGCATTATTACGCTACGTCTGCATATGTCTACATGAGCCTGGCTTGGGATCCCGACAACTTCCGATTGGTCATGGAGTTGTTGCAAAGCTGGCTGTGAGCCCGCAGCCAGCATCCTGAGGCAAGACGGACCACATGGTGCCCATTTTTCAAGAATTGCCACCGTATGCCACCTTGACAACCTATGCCGCATGCTTGGGCGGGGCACAAAGTTAGAAGAGGAGCACTTCCTTAATCAAATTCACCAACAATAGCGCCCTGACAGCGAGAAACTCGTTGGGTCCGTCCTTTGAAACAATCTCGGTGCAACCTGTTTTGCTGGCAAGTTCACATTCCGAGTCTTATGAGGTGTGCACCCTATTTGTGCCATCCACCTGTTCGGCTGTCTCAGGACTCAGAAGCCCAAATTTCTAGCAAACTGCTCGTAAGCTGCTGGTTGTTAGTAGGGAATGGAGGAATGGAAAAAAATGGACGCTACTAGTATATTGGGGGTTATATGGGGCCCAAAACAAGGAGCTCCCCAATCACTTCCACACTCAGAGTCTTATTTGGGTTTCGTTCCCTGGAAAACATACGTCTAGTACAGCATGAACCAATTCATGAAGGCGCTGCTGTTCTGTAGATGTCGCAACCACTGCTAGGCTTCTTTGTTTTACCTTCCTGTGATCAACACACAAGGAAATGGTTTGAGCCAAAATGATCGCTGTTTGTGTAAGCCTCAAAAGAATCACATGCGCCTTTCGACTACTCAAGGCCTTCTCAAGCACGTCTCCGAGTCAACCCAAGCAAAAAGAGTGAAGCTTTTCACCCTACATCCACAGCACCTTTGTACAGAAGCAATCTTTGGCAGATCCGTCTTAAGTGGCGCCTGTAACATCGGTGCAAGATGGCCCCCGGCTAACTTTGTGGGGTCTCTCAAAGGGAAGTCGCAAGACCAGCAGTCTTGAGCTGAGTCTGCAGCCTATGGTGTCTAGAATCCCTAGCCTCATCTTTGCAGTGGGAACCTCTTGGCGGGTACAAGGTCTGGCGACTGGCATCCCCCGGGTCGAGAAAGAGAGCTTCAGGAGCGGAGGATGAGAGTTCCTTGCGGAGTGCAGGGGTGCTGCCAAGCTGGACAAGAGGACTCCGAACATGAACCGAAGGCACCTTGGAAAATGCAAGTTGCATGGGAGCCCCTAAACCCTAAACCCTAAACCCTAAACCCTTGGCCTGGAGCCATTCCGGCCTGGACTTGCTGTGGACAAATGGAGTGTCAGCTACATTGTCATTCGAAGGTTGCGCAGCGGTAGCAGCCATGCTGGCCCACATCCTGCCATTGCTGTGGAACCACAACTCTCACTGCAGGTCCCAATGGGGTAGAGTTTTTTTGGTGGTTGAACCTAGTAAGATTATATTCCTTATGTAAGATACTATACCCAAAAGGAGGATATAATCTGAATGAAATACTACTCAGCGGGTTTACACAGCGTTTGTCCGCAGGACCTGCCTTGGTGACAGGCTCAGACGCATCACGCTTGAGAAACCGGATCTAAGAATAACTCTCATGGCATGATTCAGCATGATCATGCGTAAACAAACAACCAGGGGGCTGAATCATCTTGCCATGGTGCTAATCAATTCTCTGTGGAATTTACAAGGGACAACAAGTTTGTGGTAACTTCGCACTTCAGCATATTCAGACCCGAAACCAAACTCGGTCGTCTTGTCATTGTCATCATTGCCGCAATCGCATGTTGCTCTTACCTGAAGCACCGAGCTGCTGGCTGCTCAAGCTGCGACAGCCGGCTGTCTTCGCCTGGAGCACTCACCCGGCCCCAGGCAGCAGTGTAAATCGGGAAGCAGGGGCAACAGTGGTAACAGCGTGCATCTGTTGGTAGGATGTGGGGTTGCCAGACGCGAGCAAGAGAAACGTCTGCCATGCCAAGCTGCATATCGTGGCACTTTGAGGCATGCGCAGCAGCACACATGCATCAGGTCCAACTGTAGCAGGTTTCTTTAAATGCCACAGGTCATGCAAGACATCAGGATATCTCGGCTGGCCATGCCTCACGCAAAAAAGCGGCTGGGAAGTTAGTGTTCGAACTTCTTGTCTGTGCTAGTACAATTTCTCACTTATGCTGCGCCTCATCAATTTAGAGTATCCTGAAACAGTTGGCATTTGCATCGAATTGCGGGGTTTTGGCCTTCACGTTGGAGTATCTTTCTTTGGGACGACCATATCGCTTTTCCAAGCCCTGGCTTCATGTTACTTCCTGCGCCAACCCTTTGGACACAATTACGACGGCGATAGTGAGGACACCGGCTCAGGTAGCTTGGTTTGGGATCTTGGGCTGGCTCAATCCGACAAGACTGCTGCACTGCTTCTCAAGCTAGGACAGCTAGGAAGCATGACGCGTGTTGCTGCTGCTCTGACAGCTAGGGCGGTGCACACGTGGCATGCTTTATTTTGCCAATGCGTGTTTTAGTACTCTTCTTTTCCTCACCTTGGACTTCCTTCCGCATGTTGTTCAAACCAGCAGGAAAGATTTTTGAGCACCCGCTCGCCACTCCCTTTGAGGAGAAGCTCGCAAAGCATTTCTCGCATCAGCATGCGCATACCTCTGACTAACTGGAGAGGTCGCATAGCAGCACAGCTTAAACAGCACGCACTCATGTTTCACCCCCTGCCGGACAACAAGCTCCAACTAAGGGTCTCCGCATTCCGAGCACCTCGTGCCAAAGAGAACCTTCCGTTACAGCAGAGATTGGGGCAAGCGTAGGCAAGGAATATTTGAACACTTTAGAGGCACGCAGTGCGTTGTGAGGCCAAATTCGGATGGGGACCATTTGCTGCGCCCTCCTCATGCGCAACGGCCAACCGGAAGGAAGCATACGTCCAATCCGAGACATGCAGCAACTGGCTCTGCCAACTTCATCGCACATGTTGTGAGCTCTTTGATGTCGATGTCCATGGGAAACTGTCAGGCCCATCACCGGTCGGAAAGAAAGCTGACCCGCATAATACCGAATGGCGAAGCCACTGAACTTGCAGCGAAAATTTCGCACCCAATTCGTTGAATCGATTCTCCGCTCGACCGATGATTTACTTCGTCAATGGGGGCTGCTGCATGGCCGAGCTTAGGGAGCAAGATATAACTTGTCATGGTATCTTAGGTTCTTCCACTGGAGAATTTCAGCCCAAAAACACCTAGGACCTAGGACATCCTAGCAGAAACCAATCATGACACCCACATGAAAGCGCAGTGCTTCCCCTGGCAGAACATGACATTCGGCGATGCGCAAGAATCTGCAGATCTAGGCCGCTGCGGGGTTTGGGCTTTACCCCAGACATGCAGGGCACAAGGTATCTAGCAGCACTCCTTCTCAAGCAGGGATAGTTGCGATCAACATGAAGTCTGTGCCAGTGGGGAAGCCAAGCAGACTTCCACTGATGGCCGACAAGCAAACAACAACCACCATCGCAGGTGCACGCTGCATGATCTACAAATGCAGGTGCAGCTAAGCAACGCAGTCCATAAGTTCAGCTTCAATCGCCAATATAACAAGGAACACCCCTCAGCCTGCAACCCCAACAAGTCCCCAGCGGTCTGCAGACGGAGCTGACCGCCACCCTGGACATGGCTCAGCAATTCCTTGCAAAGCACGTGATACACGTGCAACGTTCGCGCCATGTTTGACCCCTGCACGTGAAGGCATGTATGCAGACGGGCTGCTTGCTCACAAGCTTAGGAGGAAGCCGGGAGCACACACACGGTGTAAGTTGATCGCGGTCACCCGCAGAACAGGGCTGAGATGCAAACAGTGCCATCCACGAGGACCAAGTTCGGTGCCTTCTGCGCCGCGGAAGCAAGCCCAGAAAGCTGCAGCTTGACACGTCAGATGCTGCAGTCTTTGTTGGCCCACCCTCCTCGGGATGCAGCAAAACTAGCTTCGGGCCACATTGCTGCCCATTTCTCAGCCCATGTTTTGCATGCAAGGCAGCTTTGATTTGTTCTGCAGTCAACGAAAAATTCAAACAGCTCCCATGCGCACCAAATAAACTATTCAGATGCTCTGACGCTTTCGGTGTTTCTCGTGCAGCCTGCAACAACATGGGCGCGCTAGCCGTATCGGCAATGGTTCAAACTCCTCATGCGCGCCCTTGCCACGGATGAGTTGCAGCGCCTATGAGGCGCATATCTTTTACCGCTTTGGCACTGCTTCAAAATCTACGGTTCGCTGCACAGGCTGCAAGATAACTTGGACTCTTTGGGGATTGCTCTGCACAATCTCTTCCCCCTCGCCGTGACACGTACGGAGCATTGTGCCTTGCACACGTGCAATACAATTTCAGGTCTGCAAAGCCTCTTGCAGAGGGGACCAAGGTTGCACGACAAGCGGACTTTCAGCTTGCTACGACAAACGAACCTAAAACTGGCATCAGGGGAAGCAGCACAGGCTCTGAAGGAGAGCCTCAGGAACATTGCCTGTCCAAGACTCTGCATGCTGCTGAAGTACATCCTGTACTCCGTCTCCCGTTTGTATAGGGGTGATATGGGGTGTGTATAGGTGTTATATACGGGTTATATAGGTACTACATAGGATTATATGTTTCACCCTCCTGCACCGGCTAGTATTCCTTGCTTGGAAGCTGTAGAAACCGCTTCTTAGACTTAAAATGGATGATGTGTCATCCAAGCCGCATGCAGCAACGGCCGCCTATCCACTCCTCACCCTCATGCGCAGCTCAGCG